GATCTATGACGCAGTTTAACATTAGTGTAAATAAAGTTTTAAAGTCGTTCTCCTCCAATACTCAGTAGAACATGTGTTTCTAATCTCTGATCTCTGATAATGTTTCATTATAAACAACCAATCAGTGTTAAACCAACAGGAGGAGAGCTAGTAACGTTAGCATCACCGCTAACGGCTAACCAACAGGAGGAGAGCTAGTAACATTAGCAGCATCGCTAACGGCTAACCAACAGGAGGAGAGCTAGTAACGTTAGCAGCACCGCTAACGGCTAACCAACGGAGGTTCACTTCAGTTACATTATGATGCCTTCAGGCTCTGCTCAGTGAACATGAGTACTCGCTGAAGGTACATTATAATGTTATCATGATGTGTTCACATGAATATGAAACAGATATTAGAGATGAACTATGAGCTGTTTCACTGGTGTTGTCTTTGTGTGTTTTCACACTTTGAATGGTGGCTTTAACAGACCCGTCACACACAGCTGTGTAGAGATGACCCACTGGTTGTTCTTTTGTTTTAGCTTGTTAAATCTACACATCTTTTAATTATTGGTTACGATGAGGACGACGTGTTCTCTTTTTGACTCCTGAACATGTGCGAACACACTGGAGACCTTGGTCTGCCCGAGCATGTGGGAAAAGTCTAACCACTGAAGCTTGAATCATAATACAACATAAACACTAAACCAGCATTTCTAAGGGCTTAAACAGCAACACACCAAAGTGTTTGTACCACAGCTCATGGGTTTACACCGTGCCCACACATGACATGTCCAATGATGTCAAGTATGACAGCGAGGCTCTGGGTTCTGTCAACGTTTCCCTTGGCACAAATCATTTTCATGACCCCACACCGGTTATTTACCACATCATGGCACACATGGTGGGAAAATCTACTCTAACTGAGCCGTGTTGTGGACACACAACGTGGGCCAAAAAGAAGAAACAATCTATCGTGACGACGGAGTTCCACGACGTCCTCGACATCCTGGTCCAAGTTTTTGACGGATCGCATTTTATGGCTTGTCTGTGATCTCATGACAGCTGCTCTCTGAGGAGACGCCTGCCTCTGTGGCACTACAACTCATTAGTTTCATATTCTGAACAAATTACACTGAAACCAGAGCCAAGCCAAATATACAGACCATGTATTACCAGCTACTTAACACTCTCAAGTTGATGTTTTGAAAGTGTCAATTTACCCAATTCTCCCGTAATGTTTGATGGTAGGGCGGTTGCAATTACCACAGCTTTGCAAAACAGAGCTATGGTCAATTCTTTCCAAAGGATCGCATTATATTTACCAGGCGGCAACCTCCGGTCTGAAAAGTGAAGCCAACGCTGAAGTGTGTTAAAGCTGCATTCTCTCTAGTGTCCACCAGGGGGCGACTCCTCTGGTTGTATAGAAGTCTATGAGAAAATGACTCTACTTCTCTCTTGATTTATTACCTCAGTAAACATTGTAAACATGAGTTTATGGTCTCAATCTCTAGTTTCAAGTCTTCTTCAATACAGCATGATGTTCATTTAGTACATTATGGTCCATTTAGAGTCAAACAGACCATAAAGCAGGGGATGCTTTAGGGCGGGGCTACACACGTGGCTACCACGGTGTTGTCTGGTTTGAGAGTTGTCCGTGTTTTCATCTTACAACTTTCACCCTTTCAGAGTTTTGTAATTGTAACCTTTTTGGTCAACTAACAATGTCTTACTCAGCGTTCAGTTACACTTAGCTCCGCCCTCTTGTGTCACTTCTGGTTGCAAAAAAACAACACAGTGACGGAGAAACCAAGCTGAGGGCAGTCAAAAACCAAAAACCAAGATGAGGAAGGTTAAAAACCTGAATGCCGACGGTCAAAAACCGAGATTGTGACGGACAAAAGGCTCATTTCAAGCCCTCAATCAAGCAGTCCACTGTTGTGTTTTGTTTTCTGGTCGCCAAGAACAAATATAACTAAGAACCAACCGCCACGTCCTATATGTCGGCTACAAGTGCTGAAGACAACAAAAATGGAGAAATGAATACATACAAACCAACGGGTTTGTCTTCTGTCCCTTCATGCTGCGGTACTCTACCTTGTGCCGACGTTGCAACCAAAGCGTAAAACTAGTATTCAAGTATTAGCTTAACAATAAAGCATATTTATATTGAGCTAAAATCAGGATGACTTAAGTAATTCGCATTAAAAAATCAATGAATCATGTGTCACAGCAGGGGAAGTTGCAGCCGTATTTGGTGGTAAAATGATCGGGGAAGGAAATCTCCAAGGAATCGGTACAAAGTCCTCTGTGTTTAGCAGGTAAATAATCAATGCTGACTTGTTCCTGTGAAGCAGGAAGACAAACAGGATCAAGCTTTCCTGTCTGCGTCCACATTTAAAGGTGTCTACCTCGACTGGTGGCCATCTTTAAGAGATTACTGACAGAGAACACTGGCTGTCTTTAGAGTTGTACTTACATTAATGGGGTTGTTTTATGATTTACATGTTGTACATTCATCACACCAAATTACTCTCCGCTGTGTGAGTCGGGATCGTCGCTCAGGAAACGACTCACCAAACCTTATTTTTTCCTCTCACACACAAAAAAAAAACCTGCAACAAACAAAAAGCACCTCCCCGTCTATAGAAGGAGGGGACAGATTTACAGCCAGTCGGGGTCAGGGGTCGTCCGGCTGGATGCTTTCTTGGAGTGGTCTTTTCTCTCTTTACTCCTTTCTTTCTTTGAGGTGTCCCCTCGGCTCCCACCCCTCCCCCAGCATTCCTCCCTTTTGTTTATTCTATATAAATACAATCAGACCGGGCTAACTGGCCCACACTGGAAGACATTCTCTCTCTCTGCTGGTTTGTCCTTCACACATACACATGTACGAAAACACACACGCATACAAAGGAGGCTGTTGACAGAGTGTGGTAGGACCACCGTCCTGCCGCCACTCAAACACACACACACACTCACATTTTGACACACTAATCTTGTCGACACCTGACAGGAAACACGAATGATTTAAGTGTCTCATGGAATCAGATCAAGAAGCATGACTGAAGCCCGACTTAAACACAGAATATTAGAGCTATGGATCTTTCCAGATCTCACCATCGACTCCTGACTCAGTACATGGTGGCTCTCATCCAGCCTGCTGAGCTCTAACAGAGGCAAACTACGGCATGAAGCAGAGTGAAACGTGTGGACGATTTGAAAAAGATACAACTCACACAGGACCGCTTTGGAAATATATATTATTTTGGAAATGCTTTCATCCTCTGGGATTTAGTTTATGTCATGATACTCTTCTTCTGAGTTGTCGGGGTTTTAAATTCCAAATCAAAGTGATGATAATGTGAACTCACGAAGGCAAAAGGTAACATGTATTCATGCTCAACAGATAAACTCAAAGGTTTTTTTGTTTTTCTCAATTCTCAGTGTCTTGTTATAAAAGTTCAAGTTATAAATAAAATGTAAACGCTACCTGTTACATGAATGAAATTGTTTTCTATTTATTAGAAACTTTACAATTAAGAAAATGTATTGCACACAAAATCATTTTCAACAAAACACACAATGATGTTCGACACACTTGGTCTGAAACAGAAGTTTGTTTGTGTGCGATTAATTCCATGTCAATATATTTAGTGAACTGTTGTTTTTGTCACGAGTACTTTCACACAGAACGAGAACATTACGCAGCACGACGTCCGTCTATCGATTCAGAATCTTAGAAGATAAGAATCTCAATGTTTACCGACTGACTATTTGAGGTAACTGAGTTACTAATTAGGATGTCTATGTGGCCTGAAAACGATGACGTGACTCTACACGACATTTAGTATGTTTTATTTCTGCATAAAAGTTCTGAGCTTAAGAGCTCCGTGAAATGATATGAGATATGATATTCAATCATAAAAACAAAAACAGGACGATGAGGAGAGAACACGAGAGAGAGAATGAAGGAGAGAGGGATCAGTAGGAGAGAGGGATCGAGGGAGAGTGAATGAGCTTAGAGTCCAAGAAGTGTGTGTTTGTGTGTGTGAGAGTGTGAGTGTGTGCGTGTGTGTGTGCGTGTGTGTGTGTGTTGGGCCGTGCCAGGTCTCTGCACCAGTCTGTTGGTAAGGAAACACACAGGAATGTGTAGCGTTCCAGTTTAAGGCAGTTTAATGAACATCCAGGGCTCTATTTTCTGTGGCAGAGCAAAGACCGGAGCGAGCGGCGCTGCAGCACCGTGGAACTTCTTAATACCACAAAAACTGCAATAAATAGTCCACTTTTATTTGCTCCAGTCACTGAAATCGGCGCCTGTGATATTTTTATCCTTTCACCAGTATGAATATTATGTGAATAGAAATGAGGCTTGTGGAATAAAACATTCATTTGATCAGAGCTCCGAGAGACTGTGAGCAGTCTATCTGGCATCTCCAACTAAACAGAGAAAGGTAGGGACGCTTTTATTTTGTAGCCAGCAAGGTAACGAAAACAAGCGTACCCAACAACACGGTGCACATAGAAGAGAGCAGTGAGCAACGGTCCTCACGTGACAATATTCACAACTTGAATTCATTTTTATGAAAGAAAGTGAGGATATTTTCCTCGAGGGTTTGTTTGTAGCTTCTTTCCTGTTTCATTTTGTAAGTGTGTCATGTTTGGTTTTACTTCCTGTCTTTGTGCGTTTTCCCGCCTTTTTGATTGTCTGCCCCGCCCTGATTGGTTGCACCTGTCCATCGTTGTATTTAGTCGCAGTGTGAGTCTGAGCCAGTTAGTCTCAGTGAGCGTCAGCTCCCTTTGCTCAGGCCTTGCCTGGTGTTGTTTGTCTTCCTTTGTTTGTAAAGTCTTTTTGTTCACTACCTCTCAGTGTGTTTGACTCCTGCGTCTGTTGGCAGTGAGCAGGTGTGAAGGTGGTTCACAGCTGAGCGTCATTGCAAAATGCTCAAAAACATACAAGACGAGGTGAGGTGTCTAATCTACACCCTCATCTTCAATATGCAGTGTGACCCTGATGCTGACGTAGAGAGGAACTCTACGTCTCTGGTAGCGGCAGCGACCTGTCAAAATTGGCTTCACGTTTGGTGTGAACAGCATTCAGCGTCTCTAACAGCTGTATGGAGATGTTACTCAACATCTGTCTGGAGGACGGTGGATGTAACAAAGCGTTGGCCTCTGGAGGACCACTGACCTGTGTGGCTGCGGATGTGGACCCTCAGCGTGCCGTTGCTGGCAAACTTCTGTCCGCAGTACGGGCAGATCTTCTCCTTTTCCCCCGTGTGTGTCTATCAGAGGAAATAAACAACAGAAAAAGATAAGCAAGGAATAAGAAAAACATTTGTAACATCCATCCTCACGTCCTTCCTACATGGAAAAGTCAAATGTGATCGACTGTGAAAGCATCCTGAGAGTAGAAACTCTAAACTGTGTACTAAGGTCCGGCTGGAAGATCATTTATCGTCGGAATCGTATAGAAATCGTGATACACAATGATGTCGTCTCAATTGATAATAACGGGCACATACTAACTCATGTCTCAGAAAATCAGATTTCTTTGCACTAAAGTCAAGTATTTAATCACACAATGGTAAACAAATCTATTCATTGAACGAGCAGAACACGTGATATTTGGCCTCATCGTGCAGCCTGATGAGGATAATATGAGATCTGCGATAACATGGTTGAATATCGCGATAACGATATCACTTACGATACACAAACAAAGTCAAATCAAAGTGTTCTCTGTTCTTCCTTTCTGCTGCTAAAATACAACACATTACTTGTTCTATTAAATACAAAAAGTGAAAGGAAATTATTCTCAACATTCTTTTACTAACAGATTGACCGTAGATTTTTTAATAAAGTGTATTTTTTATTTATAATGCTCTCTTGCAACCGGCTCAAATAATACCCGAGTGCACCATCGCAGTCTTTCACGATGCTTTTATTGTGAAAATATGCTATATATTGTGCAGCCTTACAACCTCTTTGAACCATTCATAAAAACATGATCTGATTTTGGTATTTAGTTTCCTGGTTAAAAGCGTCTCCAGAATCTAGATGAACCCGTTAAACGCTGTCTCTGGCCGCTTTAATTCAACCTTTGCCGTCTGACTGATGTGAAGAATAAACTAACGGCCGTTTCCTCCGATAACGCTCAGAGGACGGAGATGCACGTGTTCACGTGACGGCGGATCCACTGAAGCCGGGATCAAAGCACGCAGACCGTGCCGGGTCCAAAGCCCGGGGGAGTAAAGGCCAAGGTGCACGTATGCATCCCCCTCCTCCTCCCTCCTCCTCCCTCCTCTTCCTCTGCCTCACCCTCCACAGTGTTGAGCTCTGTGGGCTCACACGGGCCGCACATGCAGACAGGGAGGAAGAAACATGTGGGCTCTTCCTCCCTCCTTCCCTCCTCTCCTTCACTCCCTCCTCGCTCTGAATTCCTCCTCCTGGCCTGTTATAGATTCCCACAAAATAATCGTCAGAGAATGAGAGGCTCAAACTCGGAGCGACAGTTTCAACAGCAGGACAACAATACAGGACCCCCCCACTGTGTCCCTCTGACACCTCGGGTGTTTCCTTACAAAGGCTCGACACACACATGCACATTAACACACACACACACACACACACAAACTAGTCCACATGCATCGGAGCACGTGTGTCCCAGATGGAGCAGCGTTATTTATTTAGCTGTTTGTGCAACAGAGGAAACATCACCGCTTCACACGCTGACAGCCAGCAGCGTCACACGGGAACCTCATTCATTGGGAGTTATTATACGTTTTTTTTAAATATATATATATATATATGTAAAACATGTATCTGTGTGCCTGTAACTACTCAAAAAGTGCTGTAATTTTCACTCATGGGTGAATTTCTTCTAGAGCAGCACGCTAACGGAGGTGAGATTTATCTGGTACAATACATGTGCATGCACACACACACACACACACACACACACACACACACACACCCTCTCATATAACAGTGAGGAGAAAGCATTGGCGGTAACACAAGAGCGCTGCATGAATAGCTCAGGTCTGGACAGACAGCACTACTGTTCATTCTCACCAGCAGCTGCTGACTCCGTTCGGTCCGACTTCAGCAGGAAACTATTCTAAGAATCAATTTTTCTTAATTGCTGGTCACAGATTCTCCAATGTGACAGTTTGCTGCTTCACTCTGTCATTTATCATTGAACATTTTAGATACTCTTGTTTTTGGTCGGGTTAAGCAAACGATTTTAAAATGAATTTAAAATAAAAAGTCTGAGTCGGGGGTGAAGGGGGTAATATTCAAAGAAGGAAAAAATAATTTCTGAAATAAAATTCGTACATTAACGAGAAAAAAGCTAAATTTGCTCCTAATGAGCAAAAATAAATACTTATAATATTGATATGATTTGCACATCTGACGTCTTTGTGTGATTCATATTTTCTTCTTTCTCTTATTTCTCCCTTCAATGGTTCTTTATTTACCTACAGTAACCTGTCGTATGATTGAATTGATTAAATAAATAAATAAATGTCAGATTTATCTAGAAATATAATTGTTAACTGCAGCCCGACTCAGAATAACGTCAGTAAACTCAGATGTTCAAGTTAAAGCAGTTCCTTATCTGCCTCCATGAACCTTTACCTTTCTATCGGATCAGCGAGCTACGTTAGGTTTGACGGCTGTGAGAACTACGGAACCGTGGCGGAGTATGGAGGTGTGCAGCGAGTAAGACCTCAACGTGTAAACACGGCCAGCGAGCTGTCGTCTCCTCGGCAGCCTGGCTTTGATCAGGGCCAGATCTCTCAGCGGCCCTCCGGACCCCGTGAGCAGCGAGACGGTTCAGCACGCCTGTCTTCAGCCCTACTGTTCGGAGACAAACCCTCCCAGGACTTTTTTCTTTTTGCCCTGTGCCAAGAAGCTGTTTGGCTTCAATCTGGATCCAGAACCACACCGGACGTTGTCAGATTCGGGGCTCATAATCTTCTGCGAGATCTGTTCGTGGGCTTTGAAACCCTGCGGAGCTAATGGACTAACTGCCATTTCTAATCAACGGAGAATTGATGTCTAAGCCTTCATGGGCAGCAGCGGTCGGGACGGACGTCCCCGCCAGGTTCTACGGTCCAAGATGTTACAACAGACTCACCGGGGGCGCTTTGTTCTGCCATTAACCCACATGTCAGTATGTTCTTTCAAAGAGAACCTGAACATGAGGCGGCAAACAAAAGAGAGCTCTTTTCCTGAACAACTTGGTTTTTCTGAGCGTTCGCAGCGTGAATAAAGGCATCAACCAATCACATTGTGCTGAACTGACATATTCAAAATGTTATCTACATTGGGCAACAACACTGAGGCTAACCTTCAGTTCTTACCTTTCACAATAAAAGCCCTGGACATATCACTGTTTGCCAGAGGGAACTCAAATTCACTCATTTCACTAAAAGGAACCTCAACAGGACTCTGGTAGTTCATCGTCTGCCTGCAGGAATCTATTCAAAGTGTTTATTGAAGAAGTGTTGCAACTGTCGCAAATCTGCATCTCTGCCAGTATGAATAGTATTAATGTGAAATATTCGTGTCTTTTATTAGTCACGGTGTGTAAATCTTTGTTTGTACTCGCGCTTGGCTCCGTAGTGCGACTCTTCCAGTATGAATGGAGGCGTTTGTGCTCTATGAGCTGCTTTATTCTGACACTCCAGAGGCTGAACAAACAAAGACTCCAGAAGACAACGAGTGTAACTCAGAGATATGAACACAGACTGGAGGTGGAAGAAATATACACCAACCTCCACTAGAGAGGAGGGATTGTAATCATCTATAAACTCATATCTCATATTCATAAACTACGTTATCACCTTCATAGAAACCCTGTAGAGAAACACGTCAAGTATTAAATGTGTTCTAAAGAAACTGAGGTTGAATATAAACTATTTGATTTGACTGATAAATATTTACTCACATGTAGATTTGTCAGACTTCTAAGAACTGATTGTTCTACTTTGTATAATCCTCAGACGGGTAACTAGTGTTTTAATCAGTGAGCTATGTGTCAGTCACGTGATCGCGCGTGCAAAGCCGCTTGCGTGTTCCGGCTTCACTACAGTGAGCATAAACTAAGCTTCACACTAGACGGGAGACAATGGAAGCATTTTGCTGAAATAGTTAGTCTGTCATTTATACAGACCACATACCAGAAAGATGATGAAAAGTATATTCTTACAACTTTCTGTAGTTACGTGCAAGATAAGTGTTTCAGTCGACCCCGTTCTGAAAGGTTTCATAAGCTGTTTTCTGACTCTTGGCTCTGAACTGTCTGCGTTTCAAATAGAAAAGTAAAGTGCAGCTTGAACTGGATTCTGGGGACAAAGCAGCAGACATACAATCACCGTCTGAGATCGAGGTCGTCTGGCTCTTTGTTTCATTCACCTTCTTGTGGCTCTTGAGGACGGACGGAGTGACGAAGGCCTTCTCACACAGGTCGCACTTGTACTTCTTGTGGCCGTCGTGCACCACCTGGATGTGGACGTTGAGCGTGTCCTTCCTCTTGAAGGTGGCGTCGCACTGGTCGCACTTGAATGTCCTCTCACCTGTGGCAACAAGGACAGAGGGACATTAGGAAGAGCCTTTTTCTCCACCTATTGTTGCGCCTCTGAACACACAGTCATCACGCACAGCAAGAGGAGACCCAATTTCACCGGGGCGATTGTGAGGCGAGAAAAAGCACAAAGAGGGCTGTTTCACTGGGCCCGAACAATGGTCTTTAGAAAGGTCTGGTTCTGGGTTTTGTCCAACAGAAGTCGTCCTGTATTGTGCATCTGTAGCTGAACACATCCCGGGGGAAACAGAGAAACTAACCGCTCTGCCACATGTTTCATCGGAACGTCAAAATGCTTCTTTTCTTTTTCTTTACAGTGCAAAAAAAACAAAAAACGGCATATTGTATTAATCATTCCACTGACAAGCAGTAAAACCAGCACAGACACAATCTCAGCTGTTCACAGAGCGCTGCCTGATGTTTCCCTTCACGCCTCCGCCGCCCTCTGTCTCCACACAACGGCCTCCATTGTTGGAAAGTAGTTGTTTCCATTATATGGAGATCATTCAATTTCCACAGTTTGCTGTGTGTGTGTGTGTGTGTGTGTGTGTGTGTGTGTGTGTGTGTGTGTGCGTGTGTGTGAGTGTGTGTGTGTGTGTGCTGTTACAGAGGCCCGATGACGGTCAGCTCAATAAACTGGAACACCGTCGAAAGCCGAGGTCCATCATGTTTTATTTTTTTTAATCAAATCCAAACATTCACTTGATGATAATTAATGTCAACGACGCCCTCGCTCACAGAGTTCATTAATACTTGCAGCCGGGTTCCAGCCGTGCGTGAGCGCTGATTAATTTATACACTCAGGATTGTTCTCAAGGTCCCAGAACGCAGAGAAAAGCCCACATAGATGAGCCGAGCAGGTTTCATTTGGGAAAGAAATTCTTCAGTCGCACGTACCAATCGCCTAACAGGACTTGTTTTCTTGCAGGGCTCAACAAATAAGAATTCCCAGCATGCCGAGGGGCAAGTAAAACACCACGTTGGTCCAATTTCATACCTCGATAACAATATATATGACGATAAAGGATGTTTTCTGCTCATTTAACAAATAAAAAGTCAAGATGAAGAAAGCACATGATGAAGCCTGCGTTTGATTTTACTCCTGTGTGATTCAAATACCTGACAAACCAACAGACAAGTGAAGCGATATCATGTCCAGCTGACTATGTTTACACACGTTCACACGAATAGAGTTTAAATATACTTTCCCAGAATTCAAGTCTGATTTTCTGACAAAAGTGAGTTACTACGTGTTGTGGTGACGATGTGTTCGTGAAACTCCAGATTAAACGAGACACTAAAACTTCTAAACACTAAGAAATAAAAATTGACTTAAAACAAAAAAACTGACGTCTTGTGTTTAGAATTCATCAACCAAAACTCACGAGTCACGTGAAGGCAACGAAATGAATATTGTTTGTCTTAAAGGTCGACTGCATTCTGACCAAAGCTCATCGATAGGGTTATGAATCGTGTGGAGGCGAGCACGAGCTGAGTCAGCGCTAGCTGTGCTCGGTTTGGAGATAACTGAATCGGTAGGTTAGGGTTGTCTTTGCAGTGGGATTGTGTGTGTGTGTGTGTGTGTGTGTGTGTGTTCTGAGCGGAACAACAGCTTCAGTTCCCCGTCAGAAAGTTCTGTATTCATAAAAAGGTATTTTAGCCGTCTAAAGCGAATCAGTCTCATGGCTTCCCCCACTGACAGGTGCCTGATGGAGACTTCTGTAGGTTTGGATTATACCGATCATCAAACCTCATGAACAGGCGGCGCTCATCAATACGAAACAAGCGATTTACGGAAAGTTTGTCCAGTTGATTTTTGTGTTTGTTGAACACTCGAACAAACAAACCTCACAGAAAAAAGTGGGAGACATTCAGGAAGAAAATATAAAACTGAGTTCAGAAAAAAGGAGAAACATCGTGATTTGACCTGAAAACGCTGCGACATCTTTCTCTCACTGAGAGACGATCGCTCCAACAGCGACTCACAAAGACGGACGCGTTCATTCAGCGTCTGTTCTCTCACCTGCAGTGAAATGAAGACACACTGGACCCCGTCTAGAACCTGATACGGTCCCGGTGTTAAACGGCCGGCCTCCTGAGAGACGCAGCAGGAAACGCCTCCAGCTTCTACAATCTCTTTGTTATCTGGCTCAGGTCGAGGGGAGAGACGTTTCCTGATCTGGACCCTGAGCGCTCCCCGGTGTAGAGTTATGGTGTCATAATAATATGAATGGAGATATCCACAGGGGTACGGATGAGTTGGCTGGCTTTAGCTTTTTAACATTTCTTCTCCTGTGAGATATGAGGAGCGATGTAATTGTAGAAGGTTTGATCAAACTACAGGAGGGATGAAGTCATCTTGTTTAGTGATTGCACTTCATGCATACAACACCATAATAATGTGATGTGATTTTGCATTTTTAACTTAATAATAATAACCTTCTTGACATTTGAACACTCCCTATTAAACATGTTTGTAGTGCAGTAGCTGAGGATACTCACTGTTGTGGATGAGGAGGTGGCGCTGCAGAGAGAAGGGCGTGCGGAACAGAGCTTTGCACTCCTCACACTGGAAGGGTCTCTCCTCAGAGTGGGTCTGCAGAGAGAGAGCGTGGATCAAGCTCCTGTAATGGATGTGAAGGCAGCACGAGCAGCTTCACCAGCTTTAGGTTCAAAGTGCTTCTGTTTTGTTTCCCCCCCCTCCCCTCCTCCTCCTCCGTGAACAAACTATCTGTCTGAGTGACACCTCAATCCCAAAAGTAAACATGGGGGACCTCGGGGGGGGGGGGGGCAAGGCCAGAGACCCCACAGAAACCAGCCACCAACGAGACCCTGATTGATTACAGCCTTTCATTCAATATCTCCTCTCAGAAACCAGTCACATAGAATGGTATGAAGACTAAATGTCAGCAGGTCAATGACCCTCTGACCCTCTGACCCTCAGTTCTCTCTGTGTTCTGGATTTCACTGTAATATAAAGTCCTGCACCTAGAAGTAGAGAGAACTACAACATGTATGTTCCGCATTATAACACAGTTAGAATGACATCAATCATAAAAAAAAATAAAAAATGCAAGACAATGAAAACAATGGAATCTATAGATCCAACATTTCTTGTGTGACACGTGTTACTGTGTTGGCAACGGAAATGGAGGCTCGACATGTTATAAATATCGATCTATAGACATTTCTACATCCTCTCCTTCCAGCCTCTCCTCTCCTCCTCTCTCCTCTCCTCTCCTCTCTCCTCTCCTCTCCCCTCCTCTCCTCTCCTCTCTCCTCTCCCCTCTCCTCTCTCTCCTCTCCTCTCCTCTCTCCTCTCTCCTCTCCTCTCTCTCCTCTCCTCTCCTCTCTCTCCTCTCCCCTCTCTCTCCTCTCTCCCCTCTCCTCTCCTCTCCTCTCTGTGTTCACTTCCTGTAGTTCAGTCAGAGTGTCTCCTCCTTGTAGTCACATGACTGTTGGTCTCAGATGAATCAATGATGACTTCATAGTTTCACACTTTAATGTTTTTACACAATCTGGTTAAAGTGAACGCTTTATTAGAGGAGAGATTTATAATGACAACATGAAGAATAAAATGTTTTAGATGAAATATCATGATTTTAAGCTTTGTTTCGTTTGCTTTTTCTGACAGAAGCGTTTGTCTCACATGATGTGTTCAAGGACCGTCTGAAAGATGAAAACCTTTCCGATCGTGACATATTTACCGGCTTCTGGCTGTGATAAACGGTGTAGTTTTGGTGCCCTTTTAAAGAAAACACGCTTTTCAATCCCGCTGTAGGGGTTTCGGGGTTCGGAGGGTCAACGTGTGACGTCTGCTCACCTTCTTGTGGTTCTTGTAGACGTTCCGGTGGGCGAACTCTTTCCCGCACAGCTTGCATTTGTAGGGTTTGTCCTCGCTGTGGATGATCTTGTGAGCCGTCACCTGGTCCAGGCGCTTGAAGGAGCGGCTGCAGATCTCGCAGGTGTACGGTCGCTTCTCTGCATTAAGAAACAGACGCATGGCGGTGAGCCGAGAGGGCGGTTCAGAGGCGATGCCTTCAATGACCCGTCTGCTTACCCGAGTGTGTGATCATGTGACGTTTCAGCTGGTTCGTGGAGATGAACTTCTTGTCACATGCGTGGCAGTCGAGTACTTCATGAACCTACAACAAAAGAAGTAAAGAGGGAGCGTTAAAGTCTCTACTTGCTAATCTTTTTTTTTTAACTTCGGGCAAAGATCACATAAAAGTCGACGGTCATCAGAAACTAAATCTTGTCCGTTTCCATTAGACTGATGTCTTCTGACAGAAAAGCAATTAAAGTGATGAAAAGTTCAATCCTCTCTGCTTCAGAGCAAGGCTCCGATGATTGCTCATTCAGCAGCTCCCCCTCCGTACGGCTACAAGAGCCAACGCTAATGCCGAGCAGCTCCTCTCGTCACGGCCGCCGCTGCAAAACGCTTGTTCAGCTAAATGGTGATAATGGCACATTTAAGCTGCTTTGGAGCCAAACGAGTCATTACGGCAACTCTTGATTGCTCCTCTGTGAGAACGTCTGCGATGGAAGCGAAGGAACACAATATGTGGCATATTTATTATGACACTCAGTTATTATGAGCAGCTTTATTAAATGTGTTACTGGGATAAATAACAGATAAAAAAGTGCGAATCACTTCTGCCGTTATGAGCGACATAGTGAAGAGGCCCCACAGGAGTATTACATACGCCCATTGAGAAAGGTGTGGAAGTGGAGGACACTGACTCAGAGGCAGGTGAAGGGTTAAACGACGCGCTGCACAACTATGTCACAACTTCCAGGTGACTTCGTGATGAATAACGGCGGGTTGATTCATCTGGATGATAGATGATGACAAAAGAACATGAAGGGTTCACAATCACCAGCAGGGATAATTAACAACAATTAATCCATGAAGAAGAAAAGCACAGTTCTCTATAGATGTTCCTGTTCTTCTGAATTAAACCAGCACATCTTGGACTAGATTGAATGTATTCTGGCTAAATATCTGATACAAATATATTAATTGCACGTACGTTTATTGAAAGTACTTTCAGGGTTCCCACACCTCACACACCGGCCTGTTCCCTCGTCTCGAGAGCAGGATTGTTTTTATGTGTTTCTGGTTTTGAGAAGATTATCTTGATGATGTATCATAAACGTTCAGATTATCTACTACAATATTCCAGAATACAACAGATAACGCTAACTTCCTGTTGGACTATCCCAGTACATAATGTTTATCGTATATAAACATAGAATCTAATGAAATGGATCGGCACCGTTCTCAGCGCTCCCTGGTCCATCTACGTGGGTCCGTATCCGTATCGGTGCATCTTTAACCTGCATCACTCCATGTAACAGAACTTCATGTGTTAGCCTAGTTTGTGCACAAACGAGTGTAACCTGGAAGCTCCGTGCACATGTACAATGATACTGACGACACGCAGCACCAACTTCAAACATCTATTTGTATGAAAACATATGTCAACATATCTGTGATCCATCAATAACGGGGAGAATCCTGACGCCAAGGTTCAGACCTTATTGTCTGCCTCTTCTGTGGGGGTGAGCGAGAGGAAACCAAATCTCCGCTCTGCTCTTTGTCACCCAGAATGCATTAGCAACCACTCGGTCATAAAGACGGCCTGAAAACGGAGCGGCTCCTCCGAGATCCGATGCAGAGTATCTGGTTGCTGCTGAACGGGATTTAAAGCAGCGCCTCACCTTTCTGTGTTCCTGTAGAGTCAGAGAGGACGAGCACTTTCTGTTGCATATGGTGCACGTGAGCTTCCGACGTGCGCTCCCTGGAAAGGGAAGAAAAGAAAGAAAACATGTGAAGAATGACCAAACCTGGACTGATAAAGTGGGCAATCATGACAACGATTCCAACACAATCATCACACAGCCACAGGAGAAAGAGAGCGTAACATCACGTCTCTACTGCATCAGATACACACCTATCATGTCTTATAATCTGCTTATAGCTCCAATAAGCATATGAATGACACGACAATCATTTAGCGTCCAGTGAGATCGACCTTCTTGCTCTTTGCGTGTCATGTAAACACAGTTTAGTCCGACTGACTGCAGTTTAAACTAATGACTTCCTGCTACGTTGTTTCTGAACGTATTTTAAGCCCGAGCGTGATGCTTCCTGCTAACGACGCTGTTTAAATACCCTCCAATGAGATCAGGTTGGAATAATTATATCAATAACCACTCATGAATATTTATAATGCAATATAACAGTAATAAAAACTAATTTAAAGCATTTTCTAAAGACTTATATAAAGATCTATTATCGTAATACTTCATCACTTCTGGTCACTCGAATGTTATTGTTGCAACGATCATAGTGTATCATGATTCCCATGGTTGTAATACATTATAATATTCATATAATGCATTATAAGGAAAGTAAAAATACATCTTACAACATTTTGTTCTCGCATAGATTTCACTTTAGAGCAAACATGACATCTCAGACTAAATTACAATATTAAAACAGATCATAATGTATTAAACTGTGGGAATAATACACTATGATCCTTGTAATAAAGAAATGATGAGGTACTGTACTTGACCTTATAACGTTTTTTATAAAGAAGCATTACTATGAATATTTATGATAGCTTATAACTATAATTATAAAGTGCTGAAGCGGATTATAAAACAATATTATGCATTAAAGAGTTACCAAAAGTGTTTTACTGGACACTCGACTCTTTTCATCTTCCCACCATTTTGGTCCACTTATCTGGAACTGAATCGCATGACCCACATCTGACGAGTCTGATCCACTTCCTCCCTCACCCACACACACACACACACACACAGACACACACACAGCTCTCGTCCCGACCACATCGGTGGAACATAAAGAGCCGGATCATCAGCCTCTGAGATGAACGTCTTACTCTCTGGTTGATACTTGATTCTGGTGTGAGGCGGCTCAGATCCCCGGCTGCCCTACATCCCATCACAAATAGCTATGGAAGTCCAATTATGTAAAGGAGCGAGCCGCCCCAGAACACACAGGTCAGCAATTATGTAGCGCAAGTAATTAGAGATGCGTCTCAACATCGCGGAGATTTTAACCGATCGAGGTCAAGTACTGTGACTGCAAGTTCCTCGAGTGCTGAGGCTGCTAACGGATGATTAACTTCATTACGAGACGTTTGGATGGAGGAAAAAACAGAGAAGGAATAGAAATGTGTGCGAGACAGAAGAGGAGACGAACCCGTGTGAACGTTTCCTTTATGCTTCTTCAGAGCGTCCTTGCTCTTGAATCTTTTGCCACAGCTCTCTGCTTTACAGATGAACCGGGCGTCTCCTCTACAGGCTTCCTTATGCTGCTCAAAGCTGCACACACACAGGACACCAGAGGAAGAGGAGAGAGCGTTATCTGGCTTAGCAAATCAAATGGCATGTGTGCTTTGTTTTTGTTTGCGGGTAATGAACTCCCTGTGTTACCTGGATATTGAGCCGAAGGTGTTGTGGCAGAGGGAGCACTGGTGCGCTTTAGAGTCGCCCGATGGGTCCAGTGCCTCGGAACAATGCAGAACACTGGGGGGGGGGGGCATTCAAAAGAACAACAGATGAGGCGTCAGATAGGAAATGAAACAACATCAAGGCCGACGGCCAAAGAACAGTAAATTAAATTGATTAATTAATTTAAATAATTATCAGGTTTTTCTCGAAATTGATGTCGAGGAAAAATACATTAATCTTCATTCATTTTTAATTAAATGTACTAATTACATCGAATTAAAGTAACAGTTCGAGATTTGAAAAGATAAATGTGTTTGATTTCTTGCGGAGGGTTAAATATAAAGCTGCAGCCAGGAGACGGTTAGCCTAGCTTAGCATAACAACTGTTAACAGAAGGGAAAAGCTATCTTTAATCCATACAAAAGGTTAGTTTAGCTTAGCATAGTGACTAAAAACAGGGGGAAATAGCTATATCTAATCTATGGTTACGGTTATTTTAGCATAATGGCTGGAAACAGAGGGGAAGAGCTAGCTGTATTCTGTGCTAAAGGTTAGTTTAGCTTAGCATAATGACTAGAAACAGGGGGAAATAGCTATATCTAATCTGTACAAAGGCTAGTTTAGTTTAGCATTTGGTATGTAAACAGCTGGCTTTAATCTGTAAAGAAAAAATGATTATCTTAGCTTAGCATGAAGATTGGAAAATTGTGGATTTGTGTTTTTTTATGGAGGTTTTGTATTATATGGTATCATGGTGACCACAACAGTTCAGGGAGAATCAAACACAATATATAACATTTTAAAGCGAAGGTTGATAATCTTCAAAAACACGTTTGTTATATTTCTTAAAATGTTTCATTTTCTCTTTCTCAAGACGACCAACCCTTGCTTTAATTAGTGAGCTTTGAGGTGCTGGTAGGTGGATTATGTCACCATCGGACAGAGCCAGGCTAGCGGTTTCCATCTGTTTCCAAGTCTTTGTGCTAAGCTAAGCTAACTGGCTGCTGGCTCCAAAAGCAAAGAAGTGAAAACCCTTAAAGACTGAATTTCTTCACCTTCACATATAATCTAAAACCTAAATCTATGCAAAAATTCGCTGTTGACACATTTCCCCGTTAAGTAAAACGACATTATTACAACGAGTTCAGTGATGGAACGGAGAACCCACTGGCGCTGCAGAGCCTGTCTGACGGGGAACTTCTTGCCACAGCTCTTGCATTTGAACTCCTTCTCCTCCGTGCTGGGCCTCTGGTGCAGACTCTGGAGGTGAGCGGCCAGGATCTCCTCACTGGGGAAGCTGCTCTCGCACAGTAAGCAGGGGTGGTCCTCCTTCTTTATTACCAGTTCTGTAGAGATGTGGCACACACACACACACACACACACACACACACACACATGAGCAGAGAGGCAGACACGTCTGTTGTTGTTTGAAATGGAGCTGATGAATTCATTTTCTACGTTAAATAATTCCGCTGTACCCATTTCAACAAGATGCTTAGCTTCTTTACTGTTTTCGTCGTCATCTCTGATGACCTCCTCCTCTTCCTCCTCCTCCTCTTCCTCCATATCACTGTCAAGGTACCCTATCAGGAGCTCCGTGTCCGTCTCGATGTCGTCCACGGCCAGGTAAAAGATGTTCTCTCCATCCTGAGAGATAAACAACATGGTCGGCAACCATTCTGAGACATCGGCAACCTATTCTTGGCATTCCGGTTTTTTCATTGGCAACAACTTTTCAACGTATAAAAAGAAAAAAAAGGAAAACATGAAAAACTGAATAAATATTCTTTTCAAATTTTTTTGCATTTGTGATGTTTAAATATTTCTGTTAGAGTCAGAACTGGAACCAGAACACGCTGGACCTCGAGTAGGGACGGGAATCAAGAACCACTTCCAGTGGAGAACCGGTTCCAAATAGTTGGATACAGTTATTATGAAGGAATTAATAAAGAATAAGACCAATAAGCAGAATCAATAATGGCTTTGGTATCAAAATACCGTATCAGTTCCCATCCCGAGTGCGTTGATGCATTCACTCACAAGCGTCTGGGGTGAAAAGTTCTAACTAACCCGTCAACTTTAAAAACTGACAAAGAACGAATGAATGTGATCGACAAACTGATTTGTGAAGTGTTGGGAGGTGAAGGAACCAGTGGTACTGCAAAACATGTACGACATCTCAATAAGTAACTCCGCCATTCACACCATTTTCATTATCGAGCCAAAGTATAACTGCTGATAAGTACTGAAAAATAAAATGGTTATAATCTATTAATCACAAAACAATAACAATACCATTAGTATTAATGGTATTGTTATTAACCATTAGTGTTGCAACGGATCATAACACTCACGGATCAGAGTCACAGATCGGATCAGCACAAAAGAAACAACTTAATGTCCATGATCAACATTTTTTGCCGCCAATATCAATGATTGATCATTGATGATCCATATTAACAGACACAGATCCCTTTGATGTTTGATTACAGCATTCTATCCTTTACTTTGTTATCGTCATTTGTAGATTTTGTTTCTTCATAAAAACACACAATTAAAATGAAAATGAAATAAAAGATTGTATTTTTAATAATTAAAACAAAACTTGTCATTAGTAGTGGTACGATGATGAATAATAATGAGCTTAGAGCTCGTATTAGGAAGTTAAACAGCTCATAATTCATCTCTAATATCTATTTATAGCAGAGCCTGAACGCAACACAGTGTAACTGAAGTGAACCTCCGTTGGTTAGCCGTTAGCGGTGCTGCTAACGTTACTAGCTCTCCTCCTGTTGGTTAGCCGTTAGCGGTGCTGCCAACGTTACTAGCTCTCCTCCTGTTGCTTTAAACACTGATTGGTTGCTTACAATGAAACATGATCAGAGATCAGAGACTAGAAACATGACCAATGTGAGAAGAATGCAGCTGACTGGAAGAATCAGCTGTGATTTTCATGATGCAGCTGAGGAGGTTGAACTCATTCCACCCAGTCTGCTCAGCCTGATCGAGGCCACAGGTCAAAAGCTCAAACCCTTAAAAATGTTGCCATTAACTTCCCCGTCCTTAAAGGTCACACTAATAAAATCATTTTGTTTTAACTGTGGGATTCTAAATATACATAAATAATGATTAAGAAGAGGAAAGCTGCACAATAAATGTCACTGTTGATGGAACACAGAGCTTTAACACACATGATGACCTTTAAACGACCAATCACTTCAGGCATTGGGGTATTAATGGCAGGAACTTGGACCTTAGACCTGACATCTTCATCTCGTCTTCACCCCCTCCTCCTAGGTTTTTTTCAATAACAATCTGTTTTATCTTTTGCACAAGAGTGCAGGAGGTGAACTTTCCCAGATCTAGTAGGATCTTAATGTTCAGTCCCTCACCGCTGATCATCGTCCTGTAACTTATTCAGTTTTTATGTCGTGTGTTAAACTAAACTGGGATGTCTTACACAATGAAAACACAACAAAAGTTACATTTTTCTCTCGCTATGAAGGTTTTCCTGGTTTAAAATTCACATTCAGGGGTTTATTTTACTACTAATAAAACATTTATTTTATACTTTGTCTGTTTATGTCTGTAGATTTCTCCTGAATTAAGGAAAAGTTACCAGTAGATAATGCCTCATTTGCATATTTAAACATAACATTTCAGAAAACTTGCAACACAAAAAACAACTGTCTTAATGTCGGTAATCAACTGGTGAAGTTTCCTGGTATATCTAATATATATATAATATCTATTAGTGAATTTTTTGACCCTATTCACCTGAAGTGTCTTCCCTTAAATATGAAGAAAATGTAACTAAATTCAACATTTTCTGCCTGTATAAGTAGAAGAATATGTGTCTTAGGGGTCTCTTTACAGCCGCATACAAAAGAAGCTCGTCCTGACAGATGTATATCATATCCTTGTCTTTCTAGTCTGTCTTTTTAAGTCTAAGTTTAAGTTATTTTTATGATTCATGGTCCTCTGGGAGGAAATCTACCTGTATGGCCGCCAGGTTCTTCTGCTCCTGTGAAGGCGCCTGGTGGACAAACCGCAGCCAGTTGGCGTGTCGTGGGTTACTAGCATCCAGAATATACAGCACATCTCCTTTACTGCCGCGGACCTGGAAGAAAGAAACAATAACAAGTCTTCTTCTTCTCTCATGGGTTTGGGTCTCACATCTGAACACAGGCCGGTTACATCCCAATGTGGCCGCCACAGATAACTACATCACAGCCTTTTATTTCACCGGCTCCCATCAACATGAGACGAGAGTCCCTTTAAGTCAGCCGTGTGGTTAATTGATCTGCAGCTTAATTAAATGTTGCTGTCATGTGATGAATGTACCGTGTGTTTTGTGCACAGATGTGTTTATTCACCTCCCACATGAGCCGGGTGTCGGAGCTTTCCTCCAGCTCAACGGGAAGCTTCTTCTCTCCGGCGAACGGGCCGAACTTTTCTCCCTTTAGAACAAACGATGTAAACATAAGCACACATCCAGGATGAATCGTATGAAAACATCTTTCACTCCAGTGGACTGTCATTAACTGTGGGTACATGGGCGGCGCTTTAATCACGTTTAAATACGCAATCACGGTTTGTACTTCAGTACACATTTGAGGTACTTGTTCTATACTTGAGTATTTCCATTTTCTGCTACTTTCTACTTCTACTCCACTACATTCATATATTTGACAACATCGCTTACTTTCAGAATATTAATACAAAATATAATTAACAAACACATAATGACGTATGATTATGGATGAAGAGAAGACTGTGCGCTTCAGCAGCTGCAACATAAATGCATCAATAATTACAATCCAATAATATTACTACTTTTACTTTAAGTATATTTTGATGCGAATACTTTAGTACTTTTACTTGAGTTAAGTTTTGAATGCAGGACTTTTACTTGTAACAAGAGTATTTCTAAACTGTGGTATTACTACACTATTATTACACTATTTGACAGAATTGTACTGCACTGTTTTGTGAAATCAATGTAGGGGGATTAATCTACTGTAATTATATCATTCTTTACTGTAAAAGCACAGTTCGATGCAGTATTACGACAGCAAAATACTGCTACATCACATAACTGGCTGTGAAGTCACAGCTGTCATTTTTACAGTACATTGACTGTAAAAGCATTAAAGTAACTTGCTGTAGCAGTAATTCACAGTAAACATACAGTCAAATATCTTTACAGTGTACTTTACTTTTACTACCAGACCTGACCCCCTCTCCCCCCACTGAAGGAGCCATGTGAGTACATCCTTCACTACTGTACAGTCATACAACCAGGAGGGGGGGGGGCGTGGTCAAAATGTATACTTCATGTTGCATTCATGTTGCATTCATGTTGCATTCATGTTCATCCTCAACCTTCTGTCTTCTATCAGCAGAGCAGCTCACATGAAGAGAACTGTGCACACATGACTGCTCATCCTGCTGACACGTTCACGCGCCTCCTCCTCATGTCTGACAGCAGCTGAGAGGGAAACCGCTGCAACTTCATCAAAGAAGCCTCAAAACGCTTCAAATAAGCTCACATGTAGCGGTCGTGTACAGTTTGTGGGCTACTTTGTTGCTTCACGAGGCAGCCTCGCGACCCTTTCTCTCTGTTGCCGACATGAATACATTGTTACGTAGAGAAGCGAGGGGAGCGACTGGAGTCTCTGCAGCTACGTGGCACATCACGTCAGAGCTGCCCCGGGGTTCGAGCCTCACAGAGACTTCAGAGGAACAAGACGAGCAGAAAAACTATCTAGAACGCTGAGAACACTTTCTACAAAGTAACAGAACTCGGCTACAAAGTCGCCGAGTCAGAAACAACAAACCTTTTTCACTCGCCTCGCCGTGTAAAGACCGATTCCATCCTGGACCTTTGACGCTTTCAGAGAAAATCTGTCTGGCACGTACATACCCAACATTGTCATCACTCGGAACCAAACGCGCGTTCCCTGCAGTGACAACAGTTGTTGGCTATCGGGTGTGTCAGCGCGAGATAGTGAGCATTGGACGGTTTGGATTTAGGAGCAGATCAAAGTGTCTGTTTGTCCTCGTGAAGCGGCTCCAGGTTGAACTTCTGCTGCTCTTGCTGCAGGACAGCAACGCGGCGCTCTGATTGGTCCAAAGTTTGTAACCAGAAGCTACCTTTACTGTCGGTTCATCCGGTCTGCTTCACTCTCATAGTACACATTTAGTACTGTAGTAGTACTGGAGTAGTACCACAAACCATGCATACTAGTTACTTTGGAGTATTATAAATGATAGCGGTCTCAGGTTAGTTTCATGAGTTATTGGATATGATTTATTTGGGGGGGTGAAAATAGATCCTTTAGTAAATGCTTTGTAATCAATTTGAGTTATGTATTATACTATTATACTGTGTTTATTGTCCTGCATCAATTACCAAGACAATAAAAAGACAATAATGCAATCAAATTCTTTTTTTACTTTATTGTGTGTTTTGTCTCTTTTTTGCCCATTTATTTACACTGAACATATGAGTGTAGGGAGGTGGAGAGGGAGTCTGTAACCATAACTGTATATGTGCATTTCACAATATTAGCATGTGTGTTTTAATACCACAATATCAATATTTCATTTTTAAGTATCATGGTTATCAATATCACGACACCCCTAATATTATATATTTATCTTTACACACATATCTGAGGAGAACTGGCCAAGTTTTGTTTTGCAAAAAACTGTTTATGTGAACTAAACATTGTTTTACTACTTAAAGACTTTAAGAGCAAAATCACAGTAGATTAATAATCTGAATATATTAGAAAGTTATTTCCATTGTCATCATACATCATATGAGATAAATACTTGCTGTAAAATGTCCAATGCAGCAGCTCTGATGCACTTCATCATTTCCCTTACTCAGCATTAACCTCTGACCCCTCAGAGTATCTCGATGCTGTGTGTTCTGGCTTGAATGGATCTGTTCTACGATTCAGAAACCTCAATGTGCCAACAAGCAGCAGAGAGGAGGAGGTCCCACTGACCCTTTCAGCTTAAAACCCTCCGCTCAGCAGAAACCACAATGAACCAACAATCAAAGGCTGCTGTTGTTCTTCTGAATCCATGTGAACCAAACCGTCCTCATGATCATAAATACCTGCCCCAGGGATTTATACTTTATTTAGTCAGGAAGTCACATTGAGATTGAGCTCTCATTTACAAGTGAGGACAGGAAATAACTAAAAATAATATTAATAATGCGAAATATAGTAAAATAGCAAATGTATACATAAGGGTAATGGCATTACAAGATGTTAATAAATGCTTTCTGAAATATCCTGGCAGAGGTTTAAAAAGGGGATCAAATAAAAAACACCTCAAATCAATAAAACCTGAAGAGATGTTTGTGAATTGCGCTGTTGGTCCCAGTGTGTCCTGTTCCTCTCTGCTCTGTGAATGATTCCACACAGATGGGGCAGTGGTGGCTGGTTTTAGTTAATGTATAATAATCACTACTTTCATAATGCTGGTTATGAATGAATTAACGGTCAGAAGTCCATCTGGTGAGTTAAGTAACTGTAGAGTCATGTAAGTACGACGATGTACACAATGCATGGGTCAGTTACACATGAAACAAAAGCGGTTACTTCCACTCTAGGCAACACATTAGACAAGTCTCAAGAAGTAGAAGTACGCGGACTACTGTCTAATGTAGCGCCAGTTTAGATTTGTACTGAGGTTTGTTTATTTGTTTAAGCTTTCACTGTTCAGTGTTTAAGGCTGAGAAGATGGAGACTCTATGTGAATAGAGTAGAAACATTTAACTCATAGATATCAACATGAAACTTCACCAGTTGATTACTTACTTTAAGACTATCATTTTTTGTATTACAAGTTTCCTGAAACGTATGTCTAAATATGCAAATAAGAGATTTTCCCATCAAATATGTGCACATTTTCATACATTTCCAGAACATATATTTGAAAAATTGGATAAAGCAGGTTCATAATTCTTGTTTCATGTTAAGAGTCAAAGGTTTTTACATTAATGATATCTCTTTATATCACTCCATAAACCAGAAAATACTGTCAACAGACATTTAAAAAACATCTATTTCCTGCTGCTGAAGTGGAGATTTATCATCAGAGTCTGAGAACAAACTCATT